TGTCGAAACTGTTAAATATAGACGTCTCTTCTACTCCGATAGCTTCATGTCTCGCACTTCTCGCCTGTGGAACTCCCTTCCTTCTTCCTGTTTCTCTGATAGCTATAATCTCCTGCTATTCAAATGTAATGTCAATCGACGTCTCCAGATGCCCTGATCTATCTCCTATCCTTCTCTTCATTTTCTCCTCTATCACTCCTATTTGCTCTAGCTCCAACTCTCTGTAACCCCTTGCGTGCTGGTGGCTTCCCGCCTTGCTTGGGGTGAAACGCTTAAAAAAAAATAATAATAATAATAATAATAATAATAATAATAGGATAGTTCATTATACGCATTGAAAGTTCTGTTATAACAGCGGGATAGAAACAACTGCAATCTGGTATGGACATCATCCAGAATCTGTAATTTCAGGTACAGATGATACCATCCTCTGGGAATGTTATATCCAATCAAATCATCTAGACATTATTATCAAAAACAGGATAGAAAAGGTATGCCTACTGGTTGAGCTGAGCATACCAAATGACAAATTTTTGAGAAGGTTTTTGGATAAATAAGCAAGTACAAAGAAATATTAATAGAAAAGGTACTTAAAAAATATAAAATTGTTCCTAGTACGGTTGGAAATTTGGATCTGATAAAGAAAAGAACTGAAGAACAAAGCAAGCAATGTTCGAGTGCCCCATCTCTCCAGAGAGTCACAAAAGTACTCCTAACCAGAACAGCCTATATTCTGTGAAGATCTTTCTCGGTTTATTTTTATTTTCGTTGCTAACGGCTTTTAGCTTAATGAAGTGGAAACAAACAATCACATCCTTGGATTGTCACAGGTGATTGATTATAAAACAAATGCAGGTAAAACAGATTTTTGATAATAATGATAATAATAAAATCAAAATCTCAAAAAAAATGTGGCACATGTGAACATCAACAATCCCTGTTGTAGTTGGAGCCGTAGGATTGGTTGGGAAAGATTCCAGTAGACTAATTGAAGGGATTACTGGAAGTCCATGCCTCAAAGAAATACAAAAAAATGTTCTCACAAGTACAGCCCACACTTTACGAAGGGCTTTATCTATGTAAATTTTTTTGGTTTTGTTTGTTTGTTTTTTGTTTGTTTTGTTTGTTTGTTTTTTTTTTTTTTTTGTCAGTGAAAAGTGTCATGATGTCATTTCTAACCTTAGGTCTCTAGGCGGGACCGGAAAGAAATGTGTACACACCAGAAATCAAAGGAAATAATAATAATAATAAAAATAATAATAAAGAATGATGACGATTAGATTGGACAGCATATTTATTGGAAGATATGTCAGTGTTACTGTGCGCAAGATCTTGCAAAATGGTATAAAAATCACGCTTGACCAGTCATAGAACGCCATAAATTCACCATTCCATGATACATTATCATTCTTACAGACAGACAAGCTAATAGAACAGACACCGAGTTTAAAATTTACAAACAAAAATGCTTTCTCGTAAAAATGGCAGTGCCATCAGATAAATTATATCTGTTAAGGAATATGATGAAAGAAGAGTGTATAAAAATCCTAAAATTGAAAAAAAAAAATGTGGTATATTAAAACTACAGTTATACCTATAATAATTGGAGCGCTCGGTACGATCGAGAAAGGTACAAATAAGAATATATCCATATCCATAGTAGCCCATACTTGCAAAAGTTTTAAAAAATTCACTCGTTGGAAGTGTTCATCAACTTAGGAGTATAGTATCAATGTTAAACATTGATTGGTTTGTTGTTTTACGGATTATCACGCCCCCCCCCCACCGTTGGGTTATTTAAAAACAAAACATATTTTGGATTATTGGAGGTTGCTTACACTACACGGTGTTCCGAAACAGTCCCTCATATAAGTACTGACTGGGCTGAATACTGCTTAACTACGGTGATCAAAAAACATTCAAAACACTGCTCTGTGTGAAAACTGCTCATCTACTCAGCAGAGAATCATAAATACAAACACAAAAATAACATCTTAATTTTTAGCTTAATTTACTTCTCAAATAATGATCCCGTAAGGGACTGTAAGGAAAATATTAATTGGTTTGTTTTTATTTTCGTTGCAAGCGGTTTTTTGCTTAATGAAGCGGAAATACACAAACACATCCTTCGCTTGTCACAGGTGACTGATTATAAAGTTATGATGCAGCATTTGTCATACCTGTGGCTGTAAAATCTTCTGTTTGATTTTCCTGTAACCCACGTTGCAACCCACGTATATCAAGCCGTGTTTGGGGCACCTCGAGGCGGTGTAATAGTTAGCAAGCTTGACCCGCTAGAACATTTCTACTACTTTCGGCCTTATGCCACATCTAAGCTACGCTTGAAAAATCACTAGCCATGTTTAGTACATCGGAATCGACAGAATTGCAGCTTTCTGAAGAATTTGTTTCTCTTCAAATTTGTGATAGAATTCACTTAATGTTGTATAACAAACAAGCTTTTCCAATCCTTCAACTGTTTTGTGGAGTCCAACAATCAGAAACCCCAGAGAGTTCGGACTGTTTCTACTCATTAAAATTCTTCAGAGTGTTTTGCGGTCTTCCATTGAAACAATAGCCTGGCTGGTGAATATTTCCTTAAAACGAGGATATTTTAGACGAAATATGTTAATGGATGTTGTGCTATACTTTTGAAATGCCAGCAAAATTTCGGTGTCAGTTGATGAACAAAGAGATACGGCCAGAGTTTTCATTATCCTTTTCGTTGTTTTGATCAGTGGTAAAATTTTGATAATCAGCTATTTCCTTGGAAATGTGATTGACTCACAACTCGTTGGAGGTAATGTCGGTTGAAATCCTTGGCCTGTTTTTAATACTATTTTACGTTCGTGAAATTTTCTTTCATGCGCAAAAATTAGAAGTTAGAATTTGATTTAACCGTGTGCTCTGTCTTGGCCATTGTGTTTTACGTTATCGTCTAAGATCCTGATGCATTGACGGTTAACTAATAACGAGCGAGTATTCAGCAATACTTCCCATTAATTACAATATCTTTCTGCGTTAAGTGTTTTATTTTCGTTCAACACTTCTTCATAGACGCCACCTTTCATATCCCACCAGACAGAGAGAATAATTTTTGTTGGATGGAGTCCGGGTTGTGGAATGCATTCTTCTTTTCTAGATAGGATCTATTTTGTTTTTTTTGCGATGGTTACGATTATGGAGTTTACCCAGGAAGGGATCGGAAGCATGTCGACTCTTTAATCACGAGACCAATTCTTTGATTAAGATGAGAAGTAACTTGTTAAGAAACGCGTGGATCAGATTTAGACACTTTTTCTGGAGTATGAGGTTTATTTAATCAGGATTTTTATCAGCTACGCTTTTCAGAAGCTCGAAACGGACAGAAATTAGTCGTTGAGGGGAAACTCCGGCAAAAGAAAGAAAAAAAAAAAGCCGATCAACTTGGCCAAAGCATCGTTGGCATATCTGGACATTTAAATCCTCATTCTTGTAAACAGAATGATATTTGCTATCCCGTTACCGGAAATGAAATCTTTTGAATTCATACAACATACACTATGATATAGATTTGATTTTAATTCATTTTAAAATTTTACAGGCTGATATCGGATAATCTAAAAAAAATAAAGTTAATAGAACGTTAAACTTGACAGTTATTTTACATTTAAGTGATGAAGCAATATCCTCAAAGTGTTCAGGTCAGAAAGATGAAAAGACTTTCTTTCCCACCTAATACATATACAGATGGAAGTGTATATCTCGAAATTATCTCTGAAGAAATTAAATAATCGTCATAATTTTAGGGTCAGCGCTTCTCTGGCAATTCTACAAACAAAAGCAATAATCACAAGCCAGAGTCTGTCTTGCAGAACAGATGCTGTAATTTTTCTTTGTGTTTGAAATAAGCAAGAATATAAAAGGATTCTGTTATAGTATTAAGGCTTACTGGCGTTTTATTACCAATGAAAGGCATCATTTATTACGAGTGGGAAAACTCAATTAATGCAAATAATAATAATATTAATAGATGATTCGAGAAGTTATGGAGATGATGTAGACCTAAGTAGTTTTAAAGTCGACAGGATTACTGAGAAGAGTGCTATTTGCAGTCAGGAAAAAAATCCAAGCCAGTATTGAGACAAACGTTTTCGTTGAATGAGTCTGAGTTGTTTATCTTCTTAGATCGGTGACTTTATGTCCGGGTTTTGTCGAAAATAAAATCACTATAAAAACAGTTAATAAAAGATTGGATTCGTCAAGGTACTTATAGTGTCTCAAGACTCTCAGGCGTAAAGTGGGAAATAAAATAGCATAATGGAAAGTGTGTGTAAACGTCAAAGTAACGGAAAGAAAAAGTTAAGCGTCCTTTCATCATGAAATGTAATTTCGTAGTAAATATCTAATTTATTCATGAATATATTAACGCGGAGGAACGAGTGAAAGGAATCATACCGGGATAAGAAAAGGAAGCACGATAAAAGGAAAGAAACAAGAAAAGAGAGTGAAGGAAGATAATAAAAAAAAGTTCGAAAAAGTAAGAATGGGTTTAAAAGAAAAAGGAAGGAGAAAGAAATTTGACAATGAATGAAAAATGAAGAAAAATAAAAAGGGGGAGTAGAAAGAAAAAAAAAAATGAGGGAACGGATTATGAAAGGTAGGAAAAAAGGTCAAAACGAAGGAGGAAAATAAAGAGAGAATTATTTAAACAAACTTGAGGCGCGTTGATCAGATTTAGATATTTTTCTGAAGTGTGAGTTTTATTGAAATGTTTGATCAGAATTTTTATCAGTTATGCTTATCAGAAGCTCGGAACGGACAGAAATGAGTTGTCGAAGGGAAACTCCGACAAAAAAAACCAAAAGAAGAAAAAAAAGAAGACGATCAGCTTGGCCAAAGTATCAGTTGGCATATCTAGACATTTAAATGCTACGGTCGGAGGGGTCAATGAAAGAAGGAATCAAGAGCGGCTGAAGAATAGAAAAGTGGGAAAGGGGAGCTGAAATGAATAGGGGACTTTAGAAAATCGGAAAAGTATTAAAAGAAAAAAAGAAAAGAAAAGAAAGAAAAATGCAAAGCGGGAAGGCGGCCAAAAGAAAGGAAAATGCCTGGAAGATATTGGAAAAAGTGCTTATGGGATAAAAGAAGAAAGAAGAAAAGGAAGGGAACGAAGAAGAAATTAAACAAGGAAGGAAGGAAGGAAGGGGGTGAACAATGAAGAAAGCAAGGAAGTAAAACAAAAGGAGAAATAAAAAGAAAGATAAAAAGCAAAGGAATGAATGACGGAAGGATGGAAGGAAGGACGGAAGGAAGGAAGGACGGAAGGAATCAAGGAAGGACGGAAGGAATGAATGAATGAAGGAAGGAAGGAAGGAAGGGAGGAATGAAGGAAGGAAGAAAAGACGAAAGGAAAGAAGGAAGGAAGGAAGGAAGGAAGGAAGGACGGAAGGAAGCAAGGAAGGACGGAAGGAATGAAGGAAGGAAGGAAGGAAGAAAAGACGAAAGGAAGGAATGAAGGAAGGAAGGAAGGAAGCAAGAAAGGATGGAAGGAATGAATGAAGGAAGGAAGGAAGGGAGGAATGAAGGAAGGAAGAAAAGACGAAAGGAAGGAATGAAGGAAGCAAGGAAGGACGGAAGGAATGAATGAATGAAGGAAGGAAGGAAGGAAGGAAGGAATGAAGGAAGGAAGAAAAGACGAAAGGAAGGAAGGAAGGAAGGAAGGAAGGAAGGAAGGGAAGCAAGGAAGGAAGGAAGGAATGAAAAGGAAGGATGGAAGGAATGAAGAAAGGAGGAAGGAAGGGAGGAAATGAAGGAAGGAAAGAAAAGAAAACCAGGAAGGAAGGAATGCAAAGGAAGGAAAAGGCAAACAACCTGGAAGGAAAAAGAAAAATGAAAAAGAAGAGAATCGACCATTTTTCTAGTAATGGATCTTATGGAATGAAGGATGAAAAATCCGTTCATCGTAATTAAAAGAAAAGAAAAATAAAAAAAAAAAAAAAAGCAAATAATACAAAGCTAGAATTAAAAGAAAAGAAAAAATTTAAAAAAATAGAAATAATTTTAAAAAATACAATGGAACGAGAAAGGAAAGATTGAACAGCGAAGAAAAAAGAAGAAAATATAAAAGAAGAATAAGAATGAAAAAGATGAATGAAACATATGAGGTAAATAAAGAAAGAAAAGCGAAAAATAAAGAATAGTGAGGTTTTTGGGGTTTTTTTAAGCGTTTCACCCCAAGCAAGGCGGGAAGCCACTAGGATGCAAGGGGTTACAGAAAATTTGGAGCAAGATCAGATAGGAGTGATAGAAGAAAGGATGAGGGTAGTGGATAGATCAAGGCAACTGGAGATGTCGATTGACATTACACTTGAATAGCTGGAGATTATAGCTCACGGGGAAACAGAAGGGAACGTAGTTCCACAGGCGAGAGGTGCGAGACATGAAGCTATTGGAGTAGAAGAGACGGCTACATTTAGGAGTTTCGACAGTGAAGGGGTGAGAGCGGGATACCAGCCTCGTAAGGCGCTGGAACTCATGACGTCTGGGAACCAGCGAATGCAGCTCCTCGGAGCAATTTCCATGAAAGTATTTGTAGAACAGACAGAGGGAGGCGACGGCGCGTCTGTGAGAAAGTGACTGTAGATGAGACGCCAGGGCAGGGCCAACCATATTGCATATCCGCCTCTGGAGCCTATCAAGAACCCCGAGGCAAACAGAAGGGGCGCCAGACCATATATGGCAGCAATACACCATGCAAGGACGAATTGTGGATTTGTAGATCTGGAGGATCGACTCAGGGGAGAAAAACTTCCTAGCGCGGCTCAGGGAGCCAACTTTCCTCGCGGTGGACGAGGCAATTGACTCGATGTATTTATTCCATCTCAGGTCAGCAGTCAACGTGAGACTGAGAAGCCGCAGAGAGTTGCTCTCGAGAAGTTGAGCGTCAGACATTCTAATAGAGGGAAGGGAGGTTATAACTCTATAAACGAACTGAGGTGTCTACAAAAAAATACATGAATTCACACTCCGTATTAGTCTTCTTCTATGTGCCGTGTCCCTTCAGCACATTGACAATCATGGCTTATCCACAATTTCCTGCCCTTTGTAGCTCTTAATAAATTTTCTCTTTTTGTTATCTCTCCTAAACCTACGACAATATCTGACCATTTATTGAAGGTGCAACGCAAAAAAGAATCGTGAGACGAAGAAATGCGTTTACATTCTATTCTTCAGATTCGTCGCTCTTAGACTAAAGCATATTTTATGCTAATTATTACCCTTTCTCAGCTTAGAGGTTCTACCGGGATCCGTGTACCAAGCCATTTGTTGTTGTCTGTCAATCAGGAATCGAAACATTTAACAACGCATATTTTAAATGAAACATAAAAAAAGTTTATTCTCTGAAGGAAAAGGAAAAGTAAAAACAGAAGGTCAGTTGAAATAATGATTCTATTCCGAAATATACAATAACAATGAAAATGTTTAATTTTCATTGCCGTGAAGTTCATTTTATAAAGTAATTAAGTGTCCTTAGTCCTGCGTGAGATGTGTGCACATAATTACTTTATGATGGTTATCCTAATGTTACTGTCAGTGCATGGGCAAGGCCTTAGACTGCGGTTTCTGGCTGTAGTCTTCTACTGTGTGTGGGTGTATGTGTATACATGTGTAGATGAAACTGGCCTCCGAAAATTGTTCTGAACTTTGAGAAATTTAAATTTTCAATTTCGCGCATGCGCGTTGTTTGTTTTTGATTTTCTCGACTACACAGTATAGTACGGTCAGATGGACACTGTCTGTGAAAAAAATGGCACCATGATACAATTCACTCCGCAAGAAATTTAGACACGGTATGCTGTACTACTTGGCATTCGCACCGGAAGCTCGAATACGAACATTTCAGGTTCTTCCTGTGTCAATTTGATGATAGTGCTGAGGATTCGGAAAGAGGAGAATTAGTCTAATGGTGATTACGAAGGTACAGAATCTCTGAAAACTTTGATCGTTTTGATAAGGAATGACCCCCCCCCCCAATTTGTTGGTGAAGGTCACAAACTCAACATGGAGACCTACATCAAGTTCTGCCATGAGTCAAAAGGGTGGCTGTTGGAAGACCTTGTGTCTGAAAACAGGATTCTGCACCATGTTACAAAAGGAGGAACATGCAGTCATGGCTGTCAGACAATTTCTGCGACCGCATCACCCCTTAGATCTGATCCCCTAATTCTCCAGACTGCAACCCCCTTGATTATTATTTGTGAGGTGCAGTTGAACGAGAGACCATCAAAAACTCCTTTTGGTTCTTATGATGAACTGATGGCAAGGATTATGGCAGCATTCACCAACTTAAACAAGAAGACCGTCCAGATGAGTTGTAGGGAATTCTGAAATCGTCTGGAAGCTGTAGTGGAAGGAAATGGTGATTTTATTGAAGAAATTTACTCTCTCTTATTTCAAAATACTTCTTTTTTTTTAATTCTGGTTAATATATCTGTTAAAATGAGATGTCAGTGTTATTTTCATTTCTGCTTATTTAACCATCGCACATTGTAGATGCGATTTCTAATTTGAATTATGTAGGCATCCACTTATCTCGCGAGATTAGCGTAGCGCCATATTTGGTTAAAATTCAGTCTAGTGGTGGTGAGACTAGAGAGGCCTCTTCAGGGTACAGGCCTGGGCGGTGATATATGGAAACTGTGCACTGTCCAGACAAAATGCACCCTCCCTCTCGGCTGTACTGACAAGATCCGAAGAAATACGGGGCGTTACATTTGGTGCCGGCTTGGCTGCAAGATTTGCCGGAAATATGTCAGTCTTGACATCCGGTCTGTGTGTATGTTGAGCGGCTGCTTTATCTTAGGTTTTCTGTCTGCATTTACTTTTATAGCATAGCCTTTTCCGTGCCATCTTTGATTGGATATGACTGCAAGGCACCAGTGGTTTAAAATCAGGGTTTTTCTTTCACTAGATGGACTGCTTTTCTGAGCTGTCAAACTGCCTCTAAACGAAGGAGATATAAATACATAATTTGAAACTCATTTCTATAAACCCAGCGAATGTTTTCTTCAAAGCCCATTGTTAACGGTCAAAGGGATCCTTGTCTAAAGATGTCTATAGTATACATCTGATCTTCGGTTTAATGAGAGATTGTAAGAAATATATATGCTCAACACTACTATTTTCATTCAAGCTTCAAAATGTGGATTTTTTACGCATAAATTATAAGCTCCCAAATTGTTTTAATCTCTAAGAATATTTGATTATTTCTAAAAAACACTAGGGAATGGTTACGTTTGTCATATGGTTAGCAGAGTAGAACAGAGAACAGGCAATCACACTACACTTAATATTGGAAAAAAATATTGATTAAAAAGCATTTTCCCTAGAAAATTATATGAAATTGTAAGAACAAAATTTAATTTTCGTTTTTTTTTTTTAATTCATTTTATATTTTTGCGAATTCTTAGGATGGTAAAACAGAACACAATTTCCTAATTGCTTGGAAGCAATAATTCTGCTAGAATCAATATTATTAGCCCAAATTGGAAATTGTCAGCATCTTTTTCTAGCAATTGATACAAAGTACATTGAACTCCTTTGAATGTGTTTATCTTTAAGAAACCGGATAAGGCCAGAAGCTTCTCTAAATATAATATTAAGGGAGGTTATATAATAACATATTTAGGATAATCATTTGAAATTAAATTTTTGCAAAAAAAAAAAAATAAATAAAACGGTTTCAAAACCTAAATAATTAAATGAGGCACTGGGACCTCAGGTTAAATTTCAATCAAATAGAATATTGTAGCGGGATTTAACGTATCGAATTACAAAAAAAAAAGTGCATTTTGACATATTCAATTTAATCTACGTTTCCAGATCTTATGATATACACAAGGTTTTGACATTATCAGGCGTCCATTATTTAAACTGGCCGGGCTGGGTTGATCGATTTTACGACATATTAATTTTGTTCGGTTATTTAATACAAAAAAAAACTATTTTTAATACACTCCATTTTATAGGTAGACATAGCTCATGTTTATACTTGAGACTATATGTTTGATTTATACTTGAGCCTATAGTTTCAAGTTATAGGAGGAATACGGCCGGTTCATAGACTGGATAGGTTTACACAAGTCAGATTTATATGAGTCGATAGGCAGACATTGTGTTTATACTGGAGTTGATAGATAGAAATAATTTGGGATTTACTTGCGTCTATAGGTAAACATTTCCAATTACCAAATACTGGTGATACGGCACATTTGTTAGTGACCTGAAGACTGAAAAAATTTCCTTATTTCACACGATGTTTCGACACCTTATAGAGCTGAACTACTGTTAAGAATACCACATTTCGCCACATAAAAATTGAACAGGCATATGACATACACAACGATTTCGACAGCATTTATTAAAAAGAAACATTTTAATGCCTATAACCATGTAATCAAGTAATCTGTTAATCCCTTTCAGATTATTACAAATGCACTTTAGCTATAACAAAAAAAAACATTAATGTATATGGTATGCTTAGACGTAGACTATAGGATGAACATGGTGTGAGACTGAGAAGCCAAATCAATGTATACAAGGCGGTAGTTTTCAACACGCTTTTCTGTGGTTGAGAAACATGGACAGTCTATCGTCGTCATATTAAGTTTCTCGTGCAGTTCCAACATCGCTGCCTGCGATTCATCTGCAGAATTAAATGGCAGGATGAAGTCTCCAATGTCGAGGTCCTAGAATGATGTGCTGTACCCAACACAGTCAGACAGATAATCAATCATAACTTTGTTGGGTGGGGCACGTATGTCGGATGGGAGACTCAAGAACTCCATAACCAATCTTCTTCAGCGAATTAGAGCACAGCATCAGAGCACTAGGCAGACCGAAACTTAGGTACAAAGACATTGTTAAAAACAATTTCAATAAACGTGGCATCGGTCTTGTTAGATGGGAAAGTAATATCAAATCCCGTACTAACCAAGTCCGCGCAAACTGGAGGAGAACATGCAAAGGCATCAATGTCTTTGAGAACAGGCGTACCAGTCTCCTCATTGAGAAAAGTGCCAAGAGGAGGACCAACAGTAGCACTCAAAACCCACCTTATCAATGCAGCATCTGCAATAAGACTTGCAGCTCTAGAATTG